GATCAAATTTTTTTAGGCACAGGTTTTGTCCATTTTTTTTTCAGAAAAAAAAAGTAATTGTTGTGATTTGATATAGTGGGTTTAATTCTTTGGGGTGCTCAATTTTTATATTGCAATGAGCCTTTAAGCACAAGTTATTACTAGTAATTATACATAAAATGATTAGATTCTTTTTCAAATGCCTCAACTTCTTATTGAATAGTGTAAATAATGTCGTTAAGAGTTTATTTTTCTTAAAAAAGGAATTTCTAATTATAAATTGATAAAATTTTATCTACAGTCAATTTTGTTATCAAAAAAAAATAAGAAGAGAGTAGGTATATTATCTATTGACAATTGTATATTACTAAATTTCAATTTAAAAACTTGATTAATATTTTTGCATCTTAAAAGACGAAAAATAAAATAAAAATTGGTCAATGTTATTATGTAATATATTACTCAAGTATATATTTATGGGGCTTTTTAACATTTCGCCTCGGGCTCAAACTTGCAAATTATGATGGTTCTTGGGAACTTCTTGAGGGCCTCTACTCGTGTCCTAGTTCGTTGAAGAGTTATATTTGTCTCAATTGTTTGTTATTTTTTCTTTAACTTTTCTCAAACTAATTTCAGTTATTTTAAGAGTTTGCCGAGCTTCTCGTACTTCAATGTCACTGTTATTCTCTGCATCATTTAGTAAAACAATAATCTCATTTCCTTCTTTTTCATCTTATCATGTCTCCAACAGAGGGCTAGAGAATCAACTCAATTAGCGGTTTAAATTCAGACGGAATTTTAATTACAAAATTGGTTGCCCCCATAATATCTGAAATAAAATTCCAATTTTAATTAATAAATTGGTTGTCACTGTAGGAGGAGACAATCTTATGTTAGTAAATGTGAGCATCTCTCTTCGTCTCTTGCTGTGCATAATAATTTAGAGTGGACCAAATATTTGGAATAATTTGTTAATATCTAATTAAGTTGGATATAAGGATTGTGAACATAAAATCTATTTGATATTTGGATTGGATTGAGATTGAGATTGAAATTGATAAGTTTAATTTAGATTGCAATAACATGAAATTAAATTTGAATCTAATCTAACGAAGATAAAAGACACAAAAATTAACCACACGACCAAACAATTTGAACAACTACCAGAACATGATCAATAATTGAGTGTCATTACTTAAAGCTTTTTATTTTTTATTTTAATGTTCAATGACTATATAAATTAATAAAAAAAATTAAATTATAAACCCCTTTTTAATATTACACCCATTTTTTTTTGTTATTGTATATCATAGTCTTTGTCCAAGACTTAAAAATGGTTCGGTATACTTTTAAAAAGACGTGATTGAAATGTGGCCGACATAGTATACTGCATACTCCAAAGTTTTCCCCTTTGCCTACCGTGATAGCTGGCCACCACCTCACCCTTAATTAGAGATTTATTATTATATTTTTTTTTTANTTTGCCTACCGTGATAGCTGGCCACCACCTCACCCTTAATTAGAGATTTATTATTACATTTTTTTTAAANTGATAGCTGGCCACCACCTCACCCTTAATTAGAGATTTATTATTATATTTTTTTTTTAAAAAAATAGAGGTGTAACATCAGGAGGGATAAAATTGAAAAATAAATAGGGTTAATTATAGTAGAAGTCCCTAAAGTATGAGATTTATTTTATTTTGGTCTTCAATGTTTTAATTGTAATATTTTGGTCTATAAAATATCAAATATATTTTTATATTGTTCATCAAGCATACAACATCCAAATTATTAATAATTTTTTTTATTATAAACTTATCACGTGATACTTAAATATGGACAAAAAATAATTTAGATAATTTTTGACCAAATTTTTAATCAAAAATTTGTTAAATAACTACCTAAATTATACATTTTTGATCAAGATCTATCCAAATTTTGGTCAAAAATTATCTATATTACATATTTTTTGGTAAAAATTATCCAAATTTTGGTCAAAAGTTACTTATACTACACATTTTTTGTCAAGAACTACCCAAATTTTATTTAAAATATTGAGATTAATAAGTCAACAAATCATGTCAATATTTTAAGTTCAAATTGCATTTCTTAAAAAAAAAAAAAAAAACCCATTCTTTTAAAATGAGAAACCTAATTCATTATACGCATTTTTAGTTATGAGTCCAACAGGAGTGATCAATTACGTCCTCATATTAGATCCCAAATTCGATTTAAAATAGCAAGAGTTATTTTTGATTTTAAATACAAAAAAAAAAAAAAAAAGACTATAGAGAAAGGATCCTCGATCAGCATACAACCGTCACTTCAATACAATCCTCGATCTTGCAAATTACTTTTACTCTGTAATCGTCACTTCAATAACATTTCTTTTCAATTAGAGCCAAGTACAATAGGTTTTTTTGTTTGGAAAAATTCCTAGTCTATCCTCGGCGAATAAAAACGAGCTTATATCGCTAAAAACATTGCAAATTGTTTCTCAACATTTCTCCCATAAAGTAATCGAAATCTGATTTACAATTCATGTTGACTTTCTTTGCTTCCCCACCATATCCATCTATCTCTAAAGACCGCTATAAACTCCATTTCCATATCCCTCTGGCTCCCAAGGACCATATCCCTTTAGCTCCCAAGACCCCTCAATTCTTCATATCCAATTTTGTAGAAATGAAATCTTGAAAAAAAAAAATTCAGATCTGCGAAAAATTGAAGACATGTCTGGACAAAGACTTTTGATCATTGTTTTTCGTGCTTGATTTTTATGTCATTCTCTGACCGAATAACTTATTCTTCAATGAAATGGGAAAATGAAATAGGTTAGACGACTGCAATGGGTGATCGATCATGTGAATGGTTGGTGCACATGCACACAAACCCTACATAACTTGCTTTCTTTAATCCCACTTGCCTCTGATATTTTTGATTTTGGTGCCGAAGTTCACCATGTTTTGAATTCTAGAGAAGACTGATTTTCTGAACGCACATGGGTAAGAACTTGCACTATTGTGGAGCTGGGTGTATTTTTTTAATCAAGGGCTTCGGAATTCCCAACTCATAGCAACTGGGTAGAGTTTATCAAGGTATTTCTCAGCTTCCTAATGATGCTATGCCATGAACAAATAAAATGGATACACCCTTATAGTTTGGGATTGTAGCACTTCATCCCCTCATGGTTCAAATATAACCACATAACCTACTTATGCTTTTGGACTAATCTGTACAACTAACAGTGTTAACATAAATCAAAAATTAAATTATCTGAATGCCCTCACTATCGTCTGTTGCTTCTTCAAACTGCCAGAGGAGAGTTTTCTAGAGAAAACTATGCAATACTTTAAACATTCAAACCTTGAATTCATACGGTATCACNCTCACTATCGTCTGTTGCTTCTTCAAACTGCCAGAGGAGAGTTTTCTAGAGAAAACTATGCAATACTTTAAACATTCAAACCTTGAATTCATACGGTATCACCTAACTAGAGCTCTATCATGTTGATCAAACTAGACCAACAATTTTTTAGTCAAACGCATAAAAATTTCTTAAATGTAGAGTTATAACTTCTAAGAAATATTAATGATGGATCATAAATTTACCTTANTGAATTCATACGGTATCACCTAACTAGAGCTCTATCATGTTGATCAAACTAGACCAACAATTTTTTAGTCAAACGCATAAAAATTTCTTAAACGTAGAGTTATAACTTCTAAGAAATATTAATGATGGATCATAAATTTACCTCAAACACGTAACTTTATTTCTAAAAAGTATATTGAAACCTTAAAAAATAATAACTTTCGTTACAATGAGGACTTTTTTTTTTTTGGCTATAATTGGAGAGAGAAGTGCTATATTACCCATAAATTCTGGAACTCCTCTCGCCCCACCCAACGAGTTCAGCCTACTCCACTACAACCTTTGACACTATTTGCTTCTCATTCCACGAAAACCTAATTCACTATGACCTTTGGATTGACTGTAGAACCCATCAAACATTGAAACTTGGTGTTGATCTATAATTCTATTAAAACCACATCATTCTGTTAGTAAATTATGTCAAATTTTTAGGTCCAAATAGTATTGTAATCAAATTTGAGGATAACCTGGATAGATTAAAGTCTGATTTGGATGAATTGAAGCGGATCAGGAACGACCTGGAGACACANCCCATCAAACATTGAAACTTGGTGTTGATCTATAATTCTATTAAAACCACATCATTCTGTTAGTAAATTATGTCAAATTTTTAGGTCCAAATAGTATTGTAATCAAATTTGAGGATAACCTAGATAGATTAAAGTCTGATTTGGATGAATTGAAGCGGATCAGGAACGACCTGGAGACACAGGTTGCTGTTGCTGAGGAGCAACCAATGATGCAGCGGCTGCACATAATAGATGGGTGGCTTTTAGATTTTTTGACCATGGAAATTGAATTAAATGAAGTGATAGAAATGGCTCCGAGGAGATTGAGAATAATTTTTGTTGTGGATGTCCCAAGAATTGCTGCTCAAGGTACGAGTTGGGAAAGTAAGTAGCCGAAAAGCTAGAAGATGTAATGGACTTTAAGGAGCAATGGAGTTTTTGAAGCGGTAGCTCAAAGGTTACCTTCACCTCCAGCTACAGTAAGACCCAGTGAAGGAATAATAGTGGGCATGAAAAATAATTTGAGTGAGATTTGGGGGCACCTCAAAAAAGAAAATATGGGAATCATCGACATNCCATGGAAATTGAATTAAATGAAGTGATAGAAATGGCTCCGAGGAGATTGAGAATAATTTTTGTTGTGGATGTCCCAAGAATTGCTGCTCAAGGTACGAGTTGGGAAAGAAAGTAGCCGAAAAGCTAGAAGATGTAATGGACTTTAAGGAGCAATGGAGTTTTTGAAGCGGTAGCTCAAAGGTTACCTTCACCTCCAGCTACAGTAAGACCCAGTGAAGGAATAATAGTGGCATGAAAAATAATTTGAGTGAGATTTGGGGGCACCTCAAAAAAGAAGATATGGGAATCATCGACATATATGGGTCAGGAGGAGTTGGGAAGACCACTCTGCTAACTGAAGTCAACAACAAGTTTGTCAATACAACTCATGATTTTGATGTTGTGATTTGGGTAAACGTGTCCAGTAATCTAGATTTGAATGAGGTTCAAAATGACATCGGAAAAATGATAGGACTTTATGACGAGATGTGGAAGAATAAAAGACCAAAAGGAAAGAAAGAAGATATATGTGGAGTGTTGAGCAAAAAGAAGTTTGTTTTGTTGTTGGATGATATGTGGGAGTGCCTTGATCTCTTAGGGGTTGGGATTCCACTTCAAAACAAGCAAAACTCTAAGATAGTATTCACAACCCGTTCTAAAAAGGTGTGCGGCCAAATGGACGCTCAGGAAACAATTGAAGTGGAGTGTTTGCAGTGGGTGGAGGCTTGGGATTTGTTCCAAAAGAAGGTTGGTGAAACGACCCTTAAATCCCATCTAGACATACCTAAGTTAGCTAAACTTGTTGCCAAAGAATGTGACGGTTTGCCGCTTGCACTTGTTATTGTAGGTAGAGCCATGGCTTACAAGCAAACACCCCAAGCTCTATTAAAGTGTTGAACAAATATGCTGTGCAATTTCCAGGTATGGAAAACGAGGTGTTTTGTCCTTTACATTTCAGTTATGATAGTCTACCTACTGACACAGTGAAATCTTGTTTCTTATATTGCTCTTTGTACCCTGAAGACTCGGATATTATTGTAGAGGACTTGATAAACAAATGGATTGGTGAGGGATTTTTAAATGAATGGAATGACAATGAAGATGGAGCTGAAAACCAAGGGTATGATATTATTGACACCCTTCTTCAAGCATGTTTGCTGGGAAAGGTATCTAGTGCCAGCGTAAAAATGCATGACGTGAGATGGCATTGTGGATAGGTCGTGAATATGAGAAGCAGATCGACAAGCTTTTAGTGCGAGCAGGTGGGAGGGAGACTGAAGCACCAGAAGTTTCAAAATGGAAAGAGGTAAAGAAGATGTCAAATAAAATTGAGAGACTAATAGGAACACCAATATGCCCTCAGCTCACAACTTTACTTCTGAATGAAAATCAGTTGGAGATGATCAGTAGTGGCTTCTTCCAATCTATGCATGCTCTCAAAGTTCTAGACCAGTCAAGGAATAGAAATTTAGTTGATTTACCATTGGAAATTGGTGAATTGACTTCATTGCAGTACCTTAATATATCTAGCACAAGAATAATTCGGTTACCAGTTCAACTCCAAAACTTGGTAAACTTGAAAATTTTGGATATGGATGATATATATTGTAATCAAACTTCAATACCCCAAGTGATATCAGGTTTATCATTCTTGCAAGTGTTGAAGATTGACAGTGTTTTCATCGACAATGAAGCTTTTGGTGGAGAAATTGGATGCTTTGAAATTCTTATATCGAATGGCAATGAAAAATGCCTCTGTTTTCCAAATACTTAAAAGTGCCACAAGTTACAGAGTTGCACTCGATATTTATGCTTGCTACACTTCAATCGTTGCATCACTTTCAATATATCTTCTCTGCAATATATGAAGTGTCTAAATTCCCTTGATGTCTTGAATTGGGATGTTTGTGAAGATTGGGTGATTGATTGGACTGTAGAGGGAAAGGAGATAGAAACTAGTAATAATCCCCTCGACTGTCATATCAAAAACCGATCATGTTTCCACAGCCTTCGTAGAGTATTTATTGTAGGATGCTAAAGGCTGAAAAACGTAAAATGGCTTCTTTGTTCCAAACCTCGAGTATATGTTCATAGAGAATTGTTATAAGATGGAAGAAGTAATTGGTAGAGATGAATGGATGGAAGCAACAGAGAAAGGGAAAATTTCAAAACCATTTGCAAAACTGGAAACTTTAAAATTACGTTTTCTTCAACAACTAAAGAGCATCTACCACAGTCCCCTACCCTTCACTTGCTTGAAATTCCTCAAGGTAAGCAAGTGTCCAAAGCTGAAGAAGCTTCCACTCAACTTTGATAGCGCTAAAGAACATCAAACTGTCATTACTAGAAGCAGAGACTGGTTTGATAAGTTGGAATGGTAGGACGAAGCCACACGAAATGCTTTTCTTCCAGGTTCCTAAATTGAGTGATGAGCTCTCAATTTACAGATAGCATAAGGAAGTGATCCAGGTGGGCTCTTATTCTCAACAATATCCCGATTGTTCTTCATGTATTCATGAATATTTTTTCTATCTACTATTTCTCATTCTAATGTTAAGATTATTTTGACAAATCGATATGTAGATCTCTAAATCCTGTGCTGCAGAATTCACTTTGTGACAAATAAGCAACTTCAGCTCAACAAATAAGCTTGTATACTGTCTTCACAGATGTGATACCTGACCATTACTGCTTCTTGGGTGTGGTGGCTGCATTGCAATTGCTCACCAACCATTTCCATGATGTATTTCTATTTCTATCTTATTCAGTGGTGCATATGTAAGAGTGTTTCTATGTCTATTCAATGTAGAGCTTTGGTGTTTGAACTTCTAACAATGTTAATGTTTCCTCACTTATTGAATTGGTGTTTGATCCTTCAACAGGTCACTAGCTTTTCACCGAGTGAATTGGTGTTTGACCGTTCTATAGTGTTTGTTAGTACTAGTTTTCACTTCACTTCTTGTTAGAAACACAATTTGTCAATTTCTATCTATATGTATATGTAGTTTTGACAGTTGAAACACTATTGGGGCCTCAATATCTAAAGTTGAAGACTTTTTGCAATAAGATGATTAATCATTGTTTTTTAATCACGGTGATATAATTTGGTATTGATTTAAATCATTGTGCTTACAATTTCTTTGCTCTTAATTGGATTTCTCATCTTTTTGTTATTCATCTTCACAATGCACATGAGTGGAGATCGTTCCCAAGCCTTTGTCCTGTTAGAACTTGGAGTCCTTACCTTCCTTGTAGGTCTATGAAATATAATTCTTTTATACTTCGGTTGTTGTGGTTAAGCAAGAAAAAACCACCATTATATATGGTGAATTTTCAACATTACTTTCCGAAAAAATCATGATTAATGTGGCACTTTACTATAGGATTCGTATCTAAAATAGCCAAGCTTAATTCTAGTTGTTTTCTGATTAATCTAGGTACCACTCAGATCCAACTGTTATGTGCACGATTGGTTGGTTATTGGTATACATAATGAGTCAAAATATTTACTTTATACAACTTTTACTTTGGACTTGACTTCGTCAATAATTTGAAACGATAATTTCTTATTTTTTCTAATATTATTCGTAGCACGTAAGATAAGTTTATAGGTAGTTCACAGTCTCTTTGATTCGATAACAAAGAAACTCAATCGGTTCGACATTTGAGCTTTTGGTGGATTGCTAGCTCGATGACTAATTTTGTCACTTAGTAGTTTTTAGCGCACACACTCTCAATTTCATACCCACACCCATTCCCACCTTTGCGCACACACATTCATTCTCTTTCTTCTCATGTTTGCTTATCTTTGAAGGTCAATAGTTGTGAGTTGATGCAGATTGTTGCAATTTTTATTTCGTAATTTCACAGAGAATTTGGTGTTAATTTTGTTGGAAATTAATTACCTTTGATGCAACTTTTTTGTTGGGAATTATTTAATTTTGATGAGATCTAATAATGATTTGGTTCACGATATCTTAGATTTTGGATTGAAAGCGCAAATAAAAATTGGGTTTTGATCAAGAATAATCGGGTAAAACATGTATCACTTGCTTATATTCAGGTCGAAATTGAGATTTTTTTTTGGCATGTTGTTCTCTAAAAGGGGTCACTTAGTGATGCCTCCAGTACTACTGATGTTGGCCTTAATATGGTTTCAAAGAATATGCTATGACCTTTCTCTCGGTTGGGTATTTGCTCTCTTAATGTTTTGAGTTTTCTTTGTGTATATTTATTGAATTCACGCTAGATTTTTGAAACACTTTTTTTGGCAGCTGAGAAAAAAAGAAAAAAAATCTTGAAGTGGGTGTTTAGTATCACGTTCTATATTGTGTTTTCTATCAATCACTTATTTAATTTTGTTGCTATTGCGTTAAGTTTGAATAAGTTCAATTTTGTTTTGTCGTTGATTTATTTTAACTTTTAAACACACCCAATCTTGTACAGGTTGTCGCATGGATTTTTCAAGTATATAATTAGCTTAAATCTTTTCATTGACAACTAATCAAGGAAAACCTCCACAATTTTAGATAGAGTAAGTGCAATTAACTAATTATTAAGTCAAATAACCCAAAAAAGTCTAAACTGACAAAGTTTAATAAAATCAAAAAAGTCTAATGATAGAAAAAACAGCTCTAGTGCTTATCAAAGTCTCACCAAGTGACCTTACATAAGAGTCCATCTAGCACCGTTTGGCTAGCAGTCATAACCTATATATGACGGGGAAAAAAAGACTTTTATGACAATTTAAGCTCCAGTTCCATAGCATTTTGCACGCTATCAACACCCGTATGATCAAATTTATAATTAATTAAATAATCTTAACCAAAAGTATAACATCATCTAAAATAGCTCTACATTGAGATTTGTCAAAAAAAGATTTAAATACCAAACAAAGATTTCTCAAGAAAATCCTAACCCAATAACCCTTTTCCACAAAAATATACAAACTCAAAGAAACCATTTTTTTTCTTTAATTCCAAGCATCAAATCTTGTGTGTGTGTGTGTGTGTGTGTGAGGCATACAGAGAGAAGGGAAGAGAGAACGATAGTGTGTGGAAAAGGATGGTGTACATATGTGCATGTGCTATGTGTTTTTGACCGTTGTGTTTCGACTATGTCCGTGAGTCAAGAGAGGGAGAAAGAGAGAAAAGTACTTGGATGGCAAGATGATCCATGGCAAAGGAGTGAGCGAGAGAGAGAGAGGAAGCAAACAAGGTGGGGAGGTTGCACAGAAAGGGGTTTGGCGGGAAAGGAAGGGATATCGATTTGTGATCGTAGAAGGAGGGGAGAGATTGAAGTGGTGTTCTCAAAAAGGGGGGTCATAGAGAGAGGAGAAAAAAGAAAAAGAAAAGAACACGCGTGAAAAATTATACCTCAAGTGTGGGGGTGTGTGCCACACCTACAATGTGTTTGGGCAAGATTTAGTTTTTGAGTGACATTTATTGTGAGTCTTTGGATTAGATTAGATGGATTTAGATGAAATCTAAACCGTTTGCTTAAAATTCAATCAAATCCTAGCCATCTTTGTACTTTCTCAACTTTGGAGATTCAAAATGGACTCTAACTTATTATTATAGATAGACAGTGTAGGTCTCTCAAGCCATCCCACCTAAAGACACTTTACAACCTAAAAAATCAATACAATTTGAAATAGTTTTTTCTTCATTTGCTTTAATTAAAAAAATTTAAATCAATATAGCCCCCGATATTATTTTTAAAAAAATCAACTAAATTTCCTCTAAAAATAGGAGTGTAAGAACATCTCAACCTGTTTATAGAACTTATATATCTCACTAAATGTATCATTATCCAACACAAAACCATTGCATTGACCCTACAAAAAATATTGCATAACCAATCTCAAGAATAAATTACTCAACTTAACTCGAAGCCAACATTATATTTTAGTCACTACATAATCCAAACTAAAATAACATTTATATCATAAAAACGAAAGTCACAAGCACATGTTATACACGCAATGAAAAAAGAATTCACTAAACAATTTAGCACCGAACTACCAGTTGTGGGGCCCGATGTGACAAAAAGATTTGAACATGTTCTAGCCAACTCATGAATTTGATTCGTAAAAATACGAATGTCCAATTGAGAGATAGGAAAAATAAGAAATCCCAACTATAGTAAAAAAAACAATTACATCTCTCATATGTGGCAACTCTTAAAGAAAAAAACAATAGAACAAAAGCTACGATATAAGGAGGAATCAATTGAATTAACAAGACCCAAGAACCAAACACAAACCAAAGGATGGACCTTTGATAACAAACCGCACTAAGAAACTATTAAATTTAAACCTTTATAATATCTTATAGATTTATACTATTGTTTTTTCTCTAAAATGTATTGCTTGTTTTCTAGTTATACGAAATCAGTTATACGTGACATAAAAGTCTATTAACAGAAGTTCAACGTCAACTGCCACATGACAGTGTTGAAGAAAAATCTATAAAAGCTTATAACCGAGTTAAACCCATGTTGTTATAACAACCCTTTCATCCTTGACTAAGTGTTCCCTGATAGAAATGAAATCATAGATCAACACCATGAAACTCAAATTAATCTAACTTAAGTTGTCCTATAAAAACCAAGTCAAATGTAAAAATCATTAAAGCAACTCACAAATTACATCGATAACACCANATATACAAACTCAAAGAAACCATTTTTTTTCTTTAATTCCAAGCATCAAATCTTGTGTGTGTGTGTGTGTGTGTGTGAGGCATACAGAGAGAAGGGAAGAGAGAACGATAGTGTGTGGAAAAGGATGGTGTACATATGTGCATGTGCTATGTGTTTTTGACCGTTGTGTTTCGACTATGTCCGTGAGTCAAGAGAGGGAGAAAGAGAGAAAAGTACTTGGATGGCAAGATGATCCATGGCAAAGGAGTGAGCGAGAGAGAGAGAGGAAGCAAACAAGGTGGGGAGGTTGCACAGAAAGGGGTTTGGCGGGAAAGGAAGGGATATCGATTTGTGATCGTAGAAGGAGGGGAGAGATTGAAGTGGTGTTCTCAAAAAGGGGGGTCATAGAGAGAGGAGAAAAAAGAAAAAGAAAAGAACACGCGTGAAAAATTATACCTCAAGTGTGGGGGTGTGTGCCACACCTACAATGTGTTTGGGCAAGATTTAGTTTTTGAGTGACATTTATTGTGAGTCTTTGGATTAGATTAGATGGATTTAGATGAAATCTAAACCGTTTGCTTAAAATTCAATCAAATCCTAGCCATCTTTGTACTTTCTCAACTTTGGAGATTCAAAATGGACTCTAACTTATTATTATAGATAGACAGTATAGGTCTCTCAAGCCATCCCACCTAAAGACACTTTACAACCTAAAAAATCAATACAATTTGAAATAGTTTTTTCTTCATTTGCTTTAATTAAAAAAATTTAAATCAATATAGCCCCCGATATTATTTTTAAAAAAATCAACTAAATTTCCTCTAAAAATAGGAGTGTAAGAACATCTCAACCTGTTTATAGAACTTATATATCTCACTAAATGTATCATTATCCAACACAAAACCATTGCATTGACCCTACAAAAAATATTGCATAACCAATTTCAAGAATAAATTACTCAACTTAACTCGAAGCCAACATTATATTTTAGTCACTACATAATCCAAACTAAAATAACATTTATATCATAAAAACGAAAGTCACAAGCACATGTTATACACGCAATGAAAAAAGAATTCACTAAACAATTTAGCACCGAACTACCAGTTGTGGGGCCCGATGTGACAAAAAGATTTGAACATGTTCTAGCCAACTCATGAATTTGATTCGTAAAAATACGAATGTCCAATTGAGAGATAGGAAAAATAAGAAATCCCAACTATAGTAAAAAAAACAATTACATCTCTCATATGTGGCAACTCTTAAAGAAAAAAACAATAGAACAAAAGCTACGATATAAGGAGGAATCAATTGAATTAACAAGACCCAAGAACCAAACACAAACCAAAGGATGGACCTTTGATAACAAACCGCACTAAGAAACTATTAAATTTAAACCTTTATAATATCTTATAGATTTATACTATTGTTTTTTCTCTAAAATGTATTGCTTGTTTTCTAGTTATACGAAATCAGTTATACGTGACATAAAAGTCTATTAACAGAAGTTCAACGTCAACTGCCACATGACAGTGTTGAAGAAAAATCTATAAAAGCTTATAACCGAGTTAAACCCATGTTGTTATAACAACCCTTTCATCCTTGACTAAGTGTTCCCCCCTGATAGAAATGAAATCATAGATCAACACCATGAAANGAGCCATGGCTTGCAAGAAGACATCCCAAGAATGGGAATATGCGATTGAAGTGTTGAACAAATATGCTGTGCAATTTCCAGGTATGGAAAATGAGGTGTTTCGTCCTTTACATTTCAGTGATGAGAGTCTACCTAATGCCACAGTGAGATCTTGTTTCTTATATTGCTCTTTGTACCCTGAAGACTCGAAAATTATTGTAGGGGACTTGATAAACAAATGGATTGATGAGGGATTTTTAAATGATGGTGCTGAAAACCAAGGGTCTTCTTCAAATGTTTTGCTGGAAAAGGTCTCAAATAACACTGTAAAAATGCATGACGTGATACGTGAGATGACATTGTGGATAGGTCGTGAATATGAGGAGCAGCTAGACAAGTTTTTGGTGCGAGCAGGTGGGAGGGAGACTGAAGCACCTGAAGTTTCAAAATGGAAAGAGGTAAAGAGGATGTCATTGATGGTAAATAAAATTGAGACTAATAGGAACACCAACATGCCCTTAGCTCATAACTTTGCTTCTGAATGGAAATCAGTTGAACAAGATCAGTAGTGACTTCTTCCAATCTATGCATGCTCTCAAAGTTCTAGACCTGTCAATGAATATGTGTTTAGTTGATTTACCATTGGAAATTGGTGAATTGACTTCATTGCAGTTTCTGAATATATCTTGCACAAAAATAAGTCGGTTACCAGTTCAACTCCAAAACTTGGTAAATTTGAAAATTTTGGATATGGACAATACATATTGTGATCAAACTTCAATACTCCAAGTGATATCAGGTTTATCATCCTTGCAAGTGTTGAGGATTGACTATGTTGTCATTGACAATGAAGCTTTGGTAGAGAAATTGGATGCTTTGAAATTATTATATTATTTGAGAATGGCAATGAGAAATGCCTATGTTTTACAAAGATTTAATAAGTGTAACAAGTTACAAAGCTGCACTCGATATATATGCTTGAGATCCTTCAGTCGTTGCATCACTTTCAATATATCTTCTCTACAATAAATGAAGTGTCTAAATTCACTTTGTGTCCGTCTTTGGGATGATTGATTGGAGTATAGAAGGAAAGGAGATAGAAACTAGTAATAATCCCCTCGACTCTCATATCGGAAACCGACCATGCTTCCACAGCCTTCGTAGAGCATTTATAACGAATTTCCCAGGGTTGAAAAATGTAAAATGGCTTTTCTTTTCTCCAAACCTCGAGTATCTTGATATAGTGTTTTGTGATAAGATGGAAGAAGTAATTAGTAGAGATGAATTGATGGAAGCTACAAAGAAAGGGAAAATTTCAAAACCATTTGCAAAACTGGAAACTTTAAAATTACGTTTTTTTCTACAACTAAAGAGCATCTACCACAGTCCCTTGCCCTGTGAAGAAAGACAAATTTCAAATTCCAAAAATTGCTTTCTTAGAATAGTGAAAAATAAATTTTCACTAACCCAAGACTCACAATCAAAGTTGAAAAAGAACAAAGAAATTAGAATATAGCTCCAAAAATGAGGGAAGAAAAAGATCTTTATTATTATGGAGAAATCTAAGTTACAAGCTTACAATCAAAGACTTACAAAAGAGAAAGTAGAAACAAGCTTGTAATGGTAATTGTTGTTGGTGATTTGTTTTTTGTTGGCTTGGTGATTTGGGGTGGTGGGGAGTCTATTTATAAGTGACTAGAGAAGGGTATAGAAGCTCAAGGTAGGTGGAGGTTTGGAAGGTTCAAGAATTCTAACTTAATGGTGAGAATGTAAAGGTTCTAGCTGTTTGTAGAAGGATACATAGTGCAAGCATGATCTACAAAGTTCTAGATACAATAATTTCCAAAAGTTTACTTTAAACTTTTAACATGCCCTTCCCTTGCTTGAAATACCTTGAGGTAATCAAGTGTCCAAAGCTGAAGAAGCTTCCACTCAACTCTAATAGCACTAAAGAACATCGAACTGTCATTACTAGAACCAAAGATCGATTTGATAAGTTGGAATGGCAGAACGAAGCCACATGAAATGCTTTTCTTCCAGGTTCCCAAATTCAGTGATGAGGTCTCAGTTTACAGATAGCATAATGGAAGTGATCTAGGTGGGTTCTTATTCTCTACAATATCCCAATTGTTCCTCATGAATACATGAATATTTTTTCTATCTACTATTTCTTACTCTAATGCTAAGATTATTTTGACGAATCGCTTTGTAGATCTCTAAATCATGTGCTGCACAATTCCATCTGTGACAAATAAGCTACTTCAGCTCAACAAATAAGCTTTTGTATTGTCTTCACAGATGTGATACCTGCCCATTACTGCTTCTCGAGTGTGGTGGGTGTGTTGCAATTGCTCACCAANGAGCCATGGCTTGCAAGAAGACATCCCAAGAATGGGAATATGCGATTGAAGTGTTGAACAAATATGCTGTGCAATTTCCAGGTATGGAAAATGAGGTGTTTCGTCCTTTACATTTCAGTGATGAGAGTCTACCTAATGCCACAGTGAGATCTTGTTTCTTATATTGCTCTTTGTACCCTGAAGACTCGAAAATTATTGTAGGGGACTTGATAAACAAATGGATTGATGAGGGATTTTTAAATGATGGTGCTGAAAACCAAGGGTCTTCTTCAAATGTTTTGCTGGAAAAGGTCTCAAATAACACTGTAAAAATGCATGACGTGATACGTGAGATGACATTGTGGATAGGTCGTGAATATGAGGAGCAGCTAGACAAGTTTTTGGTGCGAGCAGGTGGGAGGGAGACTGAAGCACCTGAAGTTTCAAAATGGAAAGAGGTAAAGAGGATGTCATTGATGGTAAATAAAATTGAGACTAATAGGAACACCAACATGCCCTTAGCTCATAACTTTGCTTCTGAATGGAAATCAGTTGAACAAGATCAGTAGTGACTTCTTCCAATCTATGCATGCTCTCAAAGTTCTAGACCTGTCAATGAATATGTGTTTAGTTGATTTACCATTGGAAATTGGTGAATTGACTTCATTGCAGTTTCTGAATATATCTTGCACAAAAATAAGTCGGTTACCAGTTCAACTCCAAAACTTGGTAAATTTGAAAATTTTGGATATGGACAATACATATTGTGATCAAACTTCAATACTCCAAGTGATATCAGGTTTATCATCCTTGCAAGTGTTGAGGATTGACTATGTTGTCATTGACAATGAAGCTTTGGTAGAGAAATTGGATGCTTTGAAATTATTATATTATTTGAGAATGGCAATGAGAAATGCCTATGTTTTACAAAGATTTAATAAGTGTAACAAGTTACAAAGCTGCACTCGATATATATGCTTGAGATCCTTCAGTCGTTGCATCACTTTCAATATATCTTCTCTACAATAAATGAAGTGTCTAAATTCACTTTGTGTCCGTCTTTGGGATGATTGATTGGAGTATAGAAGGAAAGGAGATAGAAACTAGTAATAATCCCCTCGACTCTCATATCGGAAACCGACCATGCTTCCACAGCCTTCGTAGAGCATTTATAACGAATTTCCCAGGGTTGAAAAATGTAAAATGGCTTTTCTTTTCTCCAAACCTCGAGTATCTTGATATAGTGTTTTGTGATAAGATGGAAGAAGTAATTAGTAGAGATGAATGGATGGAAGCTACAAAGAAAGGGAAAATTTCAAAACCATTTGCAAAACTGGAAACTTTAAAATTACGTTTTCTTCTACAACTAAAGAGCATCTACCACAGTCCCTTGCCCTGTGAAGAAAGACAAATTTCAAATTCCAAAAATTGCTTTCTTAGAATAGTGAAAAATAAATTTTCACTAACCCAAGACTCACAATCAAAGTTGAAAAAGAACAAAGAAATTAGAATATAGCTCCAAAAATGAGGGAAGAAAAAGATCTTTATTATTATGGAGAAATCTAAGTTACAAGCTTACAATCAAAGACTTACAAAAGAGAAAGTAGAAACAAGCTTGTAATGGTAATTGTTGTTGGTGATTTGTTTTTTGTTGGCTTGGTGATTTGGGGTGGTGGGGAGTCTATTTATAAGTGACTAGAGATGGGTATAGAAGCTCAAGGTAGGTGGAGGTTTGGAAGGTTCAAGAATTCTAACTTAATGGTGAGAATGTAAAGGTTCTAGATGTTTGTAGAAGGATACAAAGTGCAAGCATGATCTACAAAGTTCTAGATACAATAATTTCCAAAAGTTTACTTTAAACTTTTAACATGCCCTTCCCTTGCTTGAAATTCCTTGAGGTAATCAAGTGTCCAGAGCTGAAGAAGCTTCCACTCAACTCTAATAGCACTAAAGAACATCGAACTGTCATTACTAGAACCAGAGATCGATTTGATAAGTTGGAATGGCAGGACGAAGCCACACAAAATGCTTTTCTTCTAGGTTCCCAAATTCAGTGATGAGGTCTCAGTTTACAGATAGCATAATGGAAGTGATCTAGGTGGGTTCTTATTCTCTACAATATCCCAATTGTTCTTCATGAATACATGAATATTTTTTCTATCTACTATTTCTTACTCTAATGCTAAGATTATTTTGACGAATCGCTTTGTAGATCTCTAAATCTTGTGCTGCACAATTCCATGTGCTGCACAATTCCATCTGTGACAAATAAGCTACTTCAGCTCAACAAATAAGCTTGTGTATTGTCTTCACAGATGTGATACCTGCCCATTACTGCTTCTCGAGTGTGGTGGTTGTGTTGCAATTGCTCACCAACCATTTCCATAATGTATTTCTATTTCTTTCTTATTCAGTGGTGCTAATGTAAAGAGTGTTTCTATGTCTATCCAATGTAGTGCTTTGGTGTTTGAACTTCGAACAATGTTAATGTTTTTCACTTATTGAATTGGTGTTAGATCCTTCAACAGGTCACTAGTTTTTTACCGAGTGAATTGGTGTTTGATCTTTCTATAGTGTTTGTTAATACTTATTTTCACTTCACTTCTTGTTAGGAACACAATTTTTGAATTTCTATCTATACGTATATGTAGTTTTGTCAGTTGAAACACTGGTAGTCCATTCATTGTGAAATTGCTTGAATTATTACTACTCACGATCTATTAGGTCAGCAAATTTGATCAAACTTTTAAGTCTCAATAGTATTACTCATCAATATGAACTACATTGTGGAGTTGTATGTAATAGAAAATAATACTTGTACTTAGATAGTAAACCATAGACCAAAACTCTTCCAGTCTGCAATATTTTCTTACTATCAATAATGGTTTGAAAATTGCATAATTTTTTATGTAATTTTGATCCCAATTAGGTCAACAAACTTGTTAACTAGATCATATATATCTTCTAGTATTTTGATGAGACATTCTCAGACACTCTCAGGTGATGACACGTGTACTCGATGTCAATGGAGACTCTTGTTGTGATACCGACACGTCTTCATCAGTTTTCAACCCCCTGCCCCGAGGATGCTGTTCGCAGGGATCAAGGATCCCTAAACCACCTCGGACTGACACGTATTCCTCGACAGTTTGGGTATATCGGTCATAAATCATGCTAGTCCCTCGGCACCGAGGTGTATCTATCCGGGTGGACATTTCTGCTCCTACAGG